AACAAAAAAATGTGGCCCAAGTATGCAATGGAACATAGCTCATCAATAATTGATACCTCCAACAGCATGGTTGAACTTCAAAAAAAAAAAAAAAATGTTGTTAAGAAGCAAGCCCAAGACTACATATTTTGATTCCATTTATATGAACTTTCTAGATACAGAAAAACTATGAAGACAAATTACAATGCTACTTGCCTGGAGCCAAGCCGAGTATGAAGGCTGATTGTAAATAGGTACGGGGAACTTTCTGGAGTTAGAAATGCTCAAAAACTGGCTTGTGATAGTTGACAAGTAGGTAAATATATTAGATGTTACCAAATTATTTTTTAAAACCTTGGGGAAAAAAACACCTTGGTTTATTTTGTTTTGGGTTTTGTTGTTGTCGTTTTCAGTGTTGCTGGGGATTGAATCCAGGGCCTACTGCATGCCCTGCATGAACTCTTATCATTGAGTTTTTCTAGCAAAAATCGCTTGTTTTGTTTAATTTTGATATGCTCTCTTCTGACAAGAACAGAGATCAAGAATCACATGTTTGGGGCCGGGGATTTAGCTCAGTGGTTTCGACACCTGCTGCGTAAGCTCAAGGACCCAAGTTTGATCCCCAGTACGAAAAAAAAAAGAATCACATGTTTGGGCTAGGGGTATGGCTCAGTAGGCTCAGTAGTAGAACATGTGCTTAGCATGCGCAAGACCCTAGGTTCAATCCCCACACTAAAAAGAAAAAAAGGAGAAGGAGAAAGAGAAAGAAAGAAAGGAGGAGAAGTTGGTTTAGGAAGTGTGAGTTGAAAAAAAACACAAACAAAACAAAAAAATCCGTTACTGATTGGCTACAACTGGCTCAGTACATGAATACTATGCTGTGCCACACAAACTAGAAATAGCCTAATATAAGTCAACAGGGCAATGCTTACACAAGGTAACATTCACATCATGAAAGACTATGCAGATGCAGCTGCAAAAAAAGAAAGAAAAGATCCCCAATATAAGTTGTCAAGGAGAAAAAAAAGCAAAGTCATCGAACAATAATGAACAGTATAATTTAAATCTCACACATATACTGAACTACAAAAGGCTTACTTACCTCTGGGGAAGACTCAGACAATGGGTGTAGAAGGAGACTTTTTATTATTTAATATATTCTGTAGTATTATTTTTTTCACAATAAGCACATACTACTCTTGAAGGTTAAATACAATGTTTAAGAACTCTTCCTAGTCCTTAACTAAATATCACCACCTCTCAGCAATCCTTGCTGCTAAGGAAGCCATGTTTTCCTTTAAAACATGCTAGAATAAATTACTTTGAAACATGCTGGAAGACATATAATAGAATTCTCTATCAGCCAGCAGTGTGATGTCCTTCTAGCAAATAGTAATGATAATAATGACAACAATATCCTGATGCACACAGTTTTCTGTTATGACAATCCTGTGAGGTAATGTTGCCACCCCTCTTTTGGAGGGGACTTTGAAGCTTGAAAGGTCAAGTCCCTACCAAAGGCCACCCAGGTAGGTAGGGTGGGGGTGAGGCCTATCATTCTATCTGGTATTTTTATTCAGCTGCCTGCCTCATCAAAGGTGATAAACATAATGATGACCCTGAGGCACCTCAGGATCCTGAAGATCTTATGAATCATCAAAGGAAGATTTAATTATATTTAGTGTAGTTTGAATTTTACCTATGCTTTGTTGCAATCTCTGAAGGAGAGTTCAGCTGGGTGAGCTCATGTGACTACTCTTGTTAAGAATATCTGATTAACCAGAGGTCTCTGGCCAGGCTGCGAAGAACTTCCTCCAAGTCGATCTCTTTTGTGACTTAAGAGTCTTAAAGAGAAAATGTTTGACAGCCCTGCCTCCCCTCAGGCCTCACCTCAGAGAGCCCAAAATCCCCTCCCCTACCCAGACCCAGGTGACCGCAGGTCTCCCACAGCCTGAGGCTGAAGGGTCCTGAGGAGGTTACCTCACAGGATCTGCCACCAGCAGCAGAGGCCCGAGCATGCTGGGCCTTGTGCCCCTCTTCGCCCCTCCTACTGCTGGGACGGGAGTACCAGCCTCTTGGTCATCAGGCCCTCTCTCTGGCCACACCTTCCCACAGCCTGTGAGTGGAAACCCTCACACTGAAAAGGACATAGGTGAGTGAGTGAAAGCAAGTCTATGCTCAGCTCAAGGCCTGCCACTGCGTTGTTCTGAGGAAGCGCAAAGGTGGGCCTTCACACTTGGGAATGGGGCTCTTCATGACATCCGCAAATTAACCCAGCAACAGAGATGAAATCTCCAGGTGGATTCACTCGGCAACACAGTAAACACAAACCTGAGTGTTAAATGTGGAGAGAGGTGATGAAGCTGTGAGTCTGGGTATGCTGGAAATAAAAAGGCAGAACTGTGCTGAGTGAGAGCCAGTTTTAAAAGAGACAGACAAGGGTTCAAAACCTAGCATGGACTCTTACTAGACACGTGATTTGGTGTAAGTTACTTAGCTGCCAAGCCTTAACTTCTTTGTTCATAAAATCAAGGTAGGACTACCTGGATACCCCACTACCTTGATAGTGTAATTAAAATGTAACCCATACAAAGTAGTACCATTCCTGGCACATAGTGGATGCTTACTAAAAGATGGGATATTGTTACTATCAAGCTCTCTTCTTAATTACACTGTAAAAATGAGACAATTAAAGAGATGAATGTTTCCTCAAGGCACTTTTAGGTCTAGAACTTTATGATTTTATTATAGAAGTTGTCAAGCCAGCAACATGGCTTGATTTACCAAGGCAGGCCCACAGAATCCCATAGGTTAGGAACTCCCTTCAGGGACTTACTCTGGGGCCCATTTTCTGTTTCTTGTGTTTAAGGAGCGCTAAAACACACCTGAGGTGGCCATGTTGCCGAAGCACATCCCAGGTGCGAGGCCAGGTGTCCATTCCAGAAGTCATTAACCGCAACTGTGAAATAAAAGAAACACAGCTCCTACCCCTACATTATTTCTTCTTAAAGGTTTTTCCAAAAAACTCTATTGATAAAAGTACCATGTGCTCTTTGTGGGTTGGCAAGGACAAGAAAGCCAACCATCATCTCACCATTTAGCTGTGATTAGTTTACTGATGTCAGATCTTTTATCAATACCTGTTCCTCTAGATGTAGGTGAAACTCCTCATTGCATATTAAACTGCCTGCTTCACTGAGTACTTTAACAACCACCAGGCCCCCAGGCCTCTGGCTCTCTACAGAGGTTGAAGTTTGCAGCTCCAGACTCCACGCAGATGCTGACAAATCCACACACTGTACTCCACCCATCTCCTGGAAACCAGAGGAGGAAGGCATTTCAGAGACATGAGGAGTCACTGCTCCTAAATTCTTTGAGGCCCATAATGTTCAGAGACTCCTAATTTATTTGGGGGCACATTTCTCTTGATGATTGCTCTGGGACCAAAAGATTTAATTCCTCCTCGACTCCTGGTTTTCCTTCTGCCTATCAGGCAATGGATGGAAATGGGTTGAAAATGAAAAGTAGAGGTGGGAGGTTAAGTCCAAGGAGCAGCTGCAGTAGAAAAGCAATATCCTCCCAATACCTGTACTTCCCGGGGTGGCCCGCCTGAAATGGGACCCATCAGCTCAAGCTGAGTGATCACAGGATGCTGCCCAGGAGAACATAACCGAGGGGCTCCTGTGAATATTTTTTTTTAATTAAAGAGTAGAAAATTAATCAAAATAATTTGAAGTTTAAAATTGGCATTATCTTTGATAAACCAGTTGCCTGGAAATCCCATAAGCCCACTTTGGAGTGATCTTTAGTGGATACAGACAAAGTTGGGATGGTGACAGTGACATTTTTATCTTAAAAAAAAATCACAATAGAATCACTTATTCTTGGCCCAGGGATTTAGCTCAGTGGTTCTGCCACTTGCCTCACAATTACAAGGTCCCAAGTTCGATTCCCGGTACCAAAAAAAAGAAAGCTCTGAGAATCACTTATTCTTTCAAATATGATGTACTGGACCAAACAGGAAGCCAAATCTCTCAAATAGTCACTTAACAACATCTCTGATATTTAGTTGCTAAAACTTCAGACGCAGAAGCAGAGCCAAGCCGGGAGTGCAATTGGAGAGAGGCTTGCTACAGAAGGCACACTTACATCACCCGCTGTTTGGGCAAAGAATTGGTAAATTCACATTGCGCTGGACTCACCATGGATGATGGGGAGGGACAGTCTTCCAGGGCAGGGTGCTGTGGCGGCCCGAGGCTGCCTCACAACAGATTATCTTTGGAGCCATGTTCCTCACCACTTCTTACCCACTCACTTGCCGCTCACTATACCTGGCCCAGAAGCGAAGACAGCACTGGGAGAAAATTATTTTCATTGCCCAGCAAACTCTTATCTGCTAGCTTGAGCAGAAAACTGGAAGTAGCCTCCCTAGAATACTGATTCTGGGCTGGGGATATAGCTCAGTGGCACCATGCCTGCCTGGCAAGTGTAAGGTGTTGAGTTTGATCCCTGGTACCACCAAAAAAAAAATCAAAATCTCAAATCTTTCAAAATAGGGAACTGCTTGAGTGCCAACATGAAACTACAAGTAGAAAATTCCGCACCTCATCCCAAGGGTCAATGTCAAAATACAGGCCCACTAAAACTACTGCATAAAATACAAAATTACCTTTAGGCTGTAAGGTCTATACAAAGCAAAACGGATTTGATAAACAGACTTCGGGTCCCATCCCCAAGATATCTCAGTAGGCACATGCAAATATCCCAAGATTTTTTAAAAATCTGTAACGCAAAACACTGCTGGTGTCAAGCATTTCAGAAAACGGATACTTTATACTAAGCTAGAGCCCAAAGTGAACCAAGGTAAGTATACTCATGTCAGGTGATAAAATGTGTCCACATTATACAAATACTCAACTGGTAAAATTCACTAACTAGTGCCTTGCTAACTCAGAAAGTTCAGCCCCTTTCAAAGAAATAACTTCACTTTAGATATAACTCTTACTCCAGATCGAGACTTGCCTGTCAATTTCAATTTGGTGCTGGTGGGCTTTGCTTTTGTATCTTCTGTGAGGCCAGCCAAGGGGGATGTTTCTTTCTCCTCGGGAGTGGAGACCTTGGAGGAGCATGGTAATGAGGTAGCACTGAGGGCGACGGGCTCTCTGGGAATCCCCCAGGTAGTCAGAGCCCCTCAGAACAAATCCTAGAAAACCCCACAGAGTAAACACCATGGTTAGGAAGGACCAGATGCCAAAGTTGCCCAGTAGCGTCGATGGGACCAAAGTACATCTTGGCTCTCAAGAAAGTTTCTCCCCCCCAGCATTTCTCCCTCCAACTGCATACTTGGATTTTGACTCTTGAAGGCTCTTCATTTAAAAGCTCCTTAAAGCTCCTTCTAACCTCTTTCCCAGGAATCCCTTTCTCCTCTAAATTACCAGTGCTCTTACTGTAGGTACTATTTTAAATTGCTACTGTCCTTTATTGTTGGTCAGTATGCCCTATCTTTCTGCATAGCTTGGTTCTTTTTTAAAATTAGAACTTTCTGATTTGAGTCTGAGTTACACACAGCCCTCAGAGCAGTGCCTGATAATGTGAGGCGAACTCAGAGGGCCCTCGTGACCTCCAATGGCCCTGCTCTGTTTTCCTCCTGGCTGTATCTTCTTCCTCATCTCCAGTCTTAACAATTCTTTTGACCCAACAAGGAAACATTCTTAGTGCCCAACTCTCAAATGGCTGAGGCCTCAAATGATACCTGGGGCTTATTTGTTTTGCTCTACCCCTAACTCTGCCATTCACATGGACACAAGTCCCTCTACAAAGTCTACATGGGTCTGAGTGCCAGTGCCAGCCCTTGGCAGCATCACGTCTTTCCAATAGCCATTCCTGCTGCTATGTCTAGTCTATAGTGCCCGACTCCTTACTTTGGGTCATTTTTCTATCAAGTATTGGACTTGCATCCGTAGTACCCTTAGCCTCCTCCATCAGTTACAACGGTCAAGACCTAAATCCCAACTGCCAAATGTGTTCAAATTCTCTCCCACAGTGTACCTGGGCAGCTGGCAGTCTGCTGGTGAGATGCCCTTTCACCACCCTGAGTGCTCGCTGGCACTTACATGCAGTCATGAGAGAGATTTTCCACCTGGAAAACAGGGAAGATCCTTTGCAGGAGAGGGCTGACTTCTCAAGCCAATGAACTAAAATCCAGAGCCTCTACCTAAGCAATGAAGGTGTTCCTGGGAAATGAGGGTAGCTAGCTTTTTAGTGGGGGGCTGAAAGTTGAGTTATATAAGGCAACCCTTGGCAGAACACTTTTTAAATAAAGACATTTGTCTCTTTTTTAAAATTAGGTTCAGTACTAGAGCGCTCTGTTGAAACAGTGCAAGGGGAGCTTCTTCCTAGCATTGGTGTGGCTTCTTCGTGTCTGCCTTTGAACAGTGTCAACTCCAAAGGTTTCTGTGTATTTCCGACCAGCCACTCCTCGTAGGTTACTTTGAACAGCTTGCTTTTCCCCTAAGAGATGGGCTGAACGTTCTAACAATAACCAGTCTCCTATATCTCACTGCTGAGTAATTCCTTCTTGGTGACTTTATAATATATATATATATATATTTTTTTTTTTTCTGTGTTGTTTGTTTGTCTCTTTTGAGAGTCCTAGTATCTTATTACGTCAGGGGAGTCTTTGTTTCCTCAAGGTAAAAAAAAAAAATACAAAACAAAAAACAGAAACCCACATATTCCTGGCCTTTTTATTTAGCTGTCACAATACCAGCAGTGGGAGCGTCACTTTGCAGAGGAAACAATGGGAACACGGATCACTTCACTTTCAAACAGTAGTACCTAATTATTGTTTTTAGGGACATTTAATGAGTGGTACTTGTAGGTGATTAAACACTTTTGGGTCTGGTAGACCAGTGGGTGAGAGGCAAGCCACCATCCTTAGTGGCAGATGTCGAGAGAGGCTGAGGACAGTGTCTGCCTGGGGATCCCCACCCCAGCCCACCCATAGCGACTTCTTCTGGGGTTCAACAATGGGCTGTGGATGTCTGGGAAGCCTCCCAGTCCACAGAGTCCATTGACAAAGGAAATCATCACGGATTCAGCTACGCAGTCACTGAGAACAAAAAGGACTCAAGTGTGTTTACAGCTGATGATGCTGAATAAAAGGGCCTTAAAAATACCAGAGTTCTTGAGAACCTACCCTAGGTCATGTATCATACCAGACACAGAGGATCATAACCCTCCCAGCCCTCAGGAAGCTAGACTCACACACACTTAACTGAAAGCAAAACAGGTGATAAAGCAGAGGTGTGAACAAAGCATCATGGAACACAAAGATGGGAATAACCACGTTAGCCCAATTTGGAGATATCAAAGGCTAGGGAGAAAAAGATTCCAAAGAAGAAGGGGTATTTGAGCTGGGCTTTACAGGAAGAAGAGGAGTTTGGCAGATAGAGAACAGAGACTATAGCAGAGGAAATGCAAACAAAGCAGCAATGAGGCAGTAAGTGTGCAAGCAACAGAAACCAGATTTGCAGTTTCAGCCTGGCCAGTGTTTGTACTTTCTTCACAGTCCAAGTTCCTCTGAAGAGAGCATGTGTTAAACACCTTGCTCCAAGCCAGCCAAAGCTTGCAAATCAAATCTGAATTGCAGAAAAACTGCCTGTCCCTAACTCTGTTTCCTAAATCTTTTGCTTAAGTAGTGGACACCAATTTAAAGAGGACATTTGGGAAACTTGAATGATAAAAGAAAAGAAACTAGAGTGTGCTGGCACATGTCTGTAATCTCAGCACTCAAGGGAGGCTGAGGCAGGATAACTGCCTCAAGTTCAAGGTCAGCCTGAACTACATAGCAAGACCCTGTCTCAAAAAAGCAATAAATACATAAAATAGAACATTTGAAAACTTGTACTGTATACTCCACTTTCCTGTATTTTTAAAATTTTACATTATGAACTTATATTGTCCTTACAACTTTAAGAGACAGATTTAAAGATATTTTTTAAAACAGTATAAAAAGTACCATCAAGACTTTTTTCATTAAAATTTTAACTCAGTAATTTCCCTTCAAGAGTCTGTAGGAAAGAGGAACCAAGAGTACAATGGAGAATATTAGATTTACCAATTCACTGAGCAGATATTTAATGAGCACCTACTGTGTGCCAGGTACTATGAGCAGGAGGGTTCCAGCTGAGGAGAGGCTGGTCCCCAGAAAACTCAAGATCAGTGGTTCCTGGTCTACAATGATGGCCTGCAAAGTCTCACTCCTTTTTTCTTAAAATCTCCCTCCCTCCCTTGAAAGCTACTGCTAGGAAACTCCTGGTGGGAAGCAGAAATCTCTGGTTTAAAGGGAACCCACCTTGGGGCACCACTGGGGAGGAGGTTCATTGTTATGACACTTAGGATACTAAAAACTGCAAACCAAGTGCCTGTACAATAATAAGAACAGTTTTAACACAGAAAGAAAGTCAATATAATGGGATTTTATAGACAATCGTATTTGCAAATTTATTTAAGTTCTGGGGAAATTCTCATGGTAAAAATGACACTTTAAAAAAGTAGGCTAGGCTAGAGGCGAACATGCTGGCACTTACATCTGTAATCCCAGCACTCAGGAGGCTGAGGCAGGAGGATCACTGCGAGTATGAAGGCCAGCCTTGGGCTATATAGTGGGTTCAAGGCCAGCCTGTACTGCATAACGAAATCCAGTCTCAAAAATAAATAAAGTAGGTTAGGAAGTTTTATAGTCAGTATGATCACAATTTTACTGCATAGAATATAAATGTTCAGGAAAAAAAAAAACAACCCTGAAAGAAAATTGCCTAAAACATAAGTAAGAAAACTATTCTCTTACAGTAACCTTTTTTAAATTCTCTGAATTTGTCCAGACTCTATAAAATAAACGTGGATTATTTCGATAAAGAGGAAAAGTTACTTTTTAAAGGAACAAATAAGGAATCACCTACTCTCGCCCCCAGTTTAATCACAAAGTTCTCTCTACAGAAAGAGTCCGGATTATTCATAAGTCTTTGGTTTGGGAGAAGGAGGACCTCCAGGGTGGATGCGCCGAGTCCCATTTTATACACGGAGAGATGAAGACGCAGTCACTCCCCACCGAGCTCTCACGCTAGCGAACAGACTTTCAGCAAAGCGTTGGAAACTACGGAGTAGCAGAGCCAGGATTTGAACCCAGGTCCTTCTGATTTCAGGGCCAGCGTGGTCCAATCGCATCCTCTCCCCCTTGGCCCGTCTCGTTTCCGCAGAGGGAAGGGGGTAATCGTGTTATCTCATCAGAATTTAGTACAGGCCAAATACAATTTAAAAGGGAATTGAGCAGACTATCAGTCCACAGGAATGATTAGTAAAGTTAATTTGCTGCTACCATTTACGGCTGTCCTTGTTATTAAGGATTTTACTTTGCGCTTTTCCCTTTCATACCTTTACTCAGAATTGTTCCCTTTCGGAGTTGCTTTTCATCTTTTTCCTCCCAGCTCCTTCCGGAAAGCCCTGCAGTGCCCTCCAGGCCCACCCACACGCTCCCCAGTCTTCTCAGCACTAACAGCCGCAGGGTACCCCCCCCCCCCCCGCGCGCTTAAATGCGCATGCTCAGGGTCGGCCGGAACCCAGTGCCTGCTGTGCTACTCAGTACCTGCCGGCCGGTCACTCCCCGCGCAGCGGGTGTCGTGTGCCTCCGGCTCTCCTGCAGTCTCTTGGGACGCATACCTGTTGCCCCTATCCCTATTGGGCACTGAGCGGGGCTTCCGGAGCCCTGGCCTAAGGGGACTCCGGCTCCCAGGTACTGTGGCGTTGGGCTGTCAGGACTACGGGGGATGGGTGCCATCAGGGGCTGGGAATCACCAAGCAAAACTGTAGCCAGTCCTTTCAAATCGCACGCCTGTGATCCTAGCCCTGGGGCTGCTGAGGCAGGAGGATCTCTGCGAGTTTGAGGACAGCCTGGGCTACGTAGTGAATTCAAGCCCAGCCTGAACTACACAGGGAGACCCTGTCTCTAAATAAATAACTTAGTGTTCAGTGACAACATAGCATAAGGTCCTAAATAGAAAACTTTTGGATAATAACAAAGTAGCCTATTTGAATAGTAATAAATAGCAAAGCCTGAAGCCTCTGGTTACTATAGAGGACAATCTTGTGACCAAAGAAACCAAGATTAGTTAAAAAGTTGTTCTTGGGGCGGGGATTTAGTCAGTGGTTCGGCTGCCTGCCTCGAAAGTGCAAGGTCCCCAGTTAGATCCCCAGTACCAAAAAAAAAGTTCTTGTTATTTGAAAAGGCCCAGGCCTCAGATGGGAATCAGCCACATTCCCCGCTAAGACACTTCTGCTAGCATCAGGCACAGAATAAATATCCAATATAGGCTAGTGATTGATTTATCAATAAAACGATAGGTTTTCTTGGAAAGGGACAGCGTAATTGACATTTTTACTTAATAATTCTGCTTGTTACCAATTTCTGCAAAAACTATGCTCAGACATGCATAGGAGAAACAATGTTCCAAGTTTAGCTGTAAAAAAGAGAAGAGATCAACTCAGTGTTCGTGAGGAATAAGTAAAGAATTCGGCTAATTCCACCTCAAAAATAGGACTCAGCCACTTGAAAACTATAGAGAGCTGGGAAGGTAGCAGACAACTGTAATCCCAGCTTCTCAGAACCTAAAACAGGAAGAGTGCAGGTTCAAGGCCAGGCTCGAAAACTCAGTGAGCCCCCTGCCCCAGGGTCTCAAAATAAAAAAGGAACTGGGAATATGGCTCCGGTGGGATAGCACATCCCTAGCACAAGCAAGGCCCTGCGTTCAATGCCCAAGACTGCAGGGGGGAAAAATGGAAAGAGTAAAATATCTACTGACTTGGAAAATGCCCAAGACATATTTGAAGGAAGATAGATCTTTTGCAAATGGGAAGGGAACTAAGAGATGAAGGGAGGAGGGAGAAAAGGGAGGGGAAAAGGAAGTCAAAAGCAGAGACGTTGTGTACCTGTATCAGCTCTGCACAATGAATGTAATCAATACGTACTACAAACAAGCACTAAATTACAAAGTAGTTGCCAGGGATTTAGCTCAGTGGTTCCACCACCTGCCTTGCAAGCACAAGGTCCAAAAAAAATAGTCGGAAAAAAATTTTAAAGGAAATTCCAAAAAAACCCTAAATATATTTCCATTTATGTTGCTTACAACCTCCAAAGCACAGGCATTTGTACATAACATGGCAAAAGTGGACTGAAAAGCTACACAGCAAACTGGTGATGGAAGTATTCCTTGAGTCTTTGGCGGTAATATATTTACATATGACTTACATGATCAAAATGCAAGATTATCAAAGGGAATAAACGATTTAAATTCTGTTAGAGGTAATAGTTTTAGAAAACCAAGGCAAAAACTTATTTACTAAAATGTGACTACCAGAATGAAGAAATTGATTGTTTCATGTCTCTTATTTACCTCTGTGTGTGTGTGTGTGTGTGTGTGTGTCTGTGTACAGCTTAAAGGCTGCTTTCTCTAGGCCATTGTGTTTACACTGCCACTTCACTAGTCCTTATCTAAGAATAAATTCCTTTGCTAATGTGTTTTTAAAAATTAGAAAGCTTCCTTACTTAAAAGCCACCAATCAACTGGATCTACCTTGTTAACAAGGATGCTGAGCAAAATTTGATTTGGGTGCAATGGCAGGTCCAGGAAATGAAAAATTAGCATCCCATGGCAATTCAGAATGTGAGGATAGTAACTTAACAGATTTTCCTTTATCTTTCCAAAGAAGAGCCTTTCAGGACAGGAGTTTTCTAATTGTTTCAGGGTGCTAGGTGAAGGCAGGCTGGTTCACCTGCTCCCCTCCCACTGTTGATCCAGCAAGGCTTACCTGCCAGCACCTCCTGTCCTACCCTACCAAAGCAGCTTCCAGGGCTGGCCCTGGGGGCTGCTTTCTGTTGTCTGCAGGCTGCATCATGCTCAGAGACCCTGCAGGGCCTTTGTGGTATCCTTGCTTTCAAACAGACAAGCCACTAGAGTAAACAGCGGGAGAGGAACCCCAGGCCACACACCTACCAGATACCTACATTTCAACCATTAGCACATGTCAAAGCCATTTAAGATTGATTCAAACAAATAGTCTCATGCCCTCAGAAGCCTCACTCCCCACCCTTACGTGAGGTTTTCACTCTTTTTTCGACTCCTTCGAAAATACCTGTAATCAGATAGCAGCAGTCTCAGAAGTCTCAAAAGGACAGAGGCAGTGGAAAAATTTCTGCACTAGGAATAGCACAGAATATCAAGGAAAAACTATGTCACCATGAAACACTCATCTAGCTTATAAAATATTGCATAATAAAGATTCAGTTAGCAACATTATCAAAAGGATATTTAAAATGATTTTGAAGGCTCCTTTTAGAAAGTGTTTTCATCACTACATAAGTTCTAAATATCCAATTATAATTTTGAGTTCAAAATTCAGGAAAAAGTTAGTGGTGTGCACCGTGAAGGCATGGCAGAGAAGGCTGGGGGTTAGCTAGATAACCAAATTTTACAATCTGAGTAGGACAAGCTTCTGGTGAACAGACGTCTGTCTACTCCTTTGAAACCTACTTTGAAATCTGTGTCTCAGATTAGATTTTCCAGTGAGAGTTTATTTGTTTGTGTACTGTCTAGAGTAAACAGGAACACAGATAAAACTGTACTTAGCTTTCTCTCTTTGGAATCTTTTCAGAGAAATAAGATATCAGATTAGAAGGCAGCTTGGCATGTAACTTCTTTAGCCCTCCTGCCCCAAATAGAAGTCTCTTTGCAGAAGTTAGTGGGTAAACTATTACAGTCAGATAGGAGGAATAAACTCTAGAGTCCTGTAGCAGAGAAGGGTGACTATGATTAACAATAACTTATTGTATATTTCAAAATTTTCTCACCTTGAGGAGATGAAAAATGTTCAAGGAGGGCCGGGGATTTAGGTCAGTGGTTTCACCGCCTACTGCTCAAGCTCAAGGAACTGAGTTCAATCCCTGGTACCAAAAAAAAAGTTAAAGGAGATGGGTATGCTAATTACCCTGACTTGATTACTACACATTGTATAAATGTATCAAAATATCTAGGGGCCAAGGATGTGGCTCAAGACAAAAGAAACAAAAAAAAATCACACTGTACCTCATAAATATATGCAATGGCTTTGTGTCGATTAAAAATAAATTACAAATTAAAAAGAGGGGAACCTGTGCACTGCTTGTTGATTCGATTTGGGCTAAGCTGCTCCACATTCCTTCGTTGAGAAAGGAGACCAAGCCAACCTTTCCCTGCCCCATTCTCACACTAAGCCTCATTTGTGAGGTCTGGAATGAATATAGAGCACTGAGCTATTCGATTTCCGTGTTGGTCTGCTTCTGGCTTGATTTGATTAAAGTCCGCTCCAACTATGCATCCAACCTCTCGTTTTCTCATTTCTTCCCACCATCGTTTAATCCTTCATTTCCTCTGCTGCTAGAACGTGTCTCTCCTAATGATTGGATTAAGTACACAGCATTTCCCAATGTACGCAACTCAGCTCTGTGGCCCCAGATTCTCTTCACTGATAAATGTTTTACAGTCATCAATATTAAATGTCGCCTCACCTTTACTTTCCTTAGTTAATACAGACTATTCTCAAAGAGAAAATAATTTTACAACAGAGGGTCTTTTTCCTTAGGGAGGGAAAACAGGCTTCTTATGCACCTTTTTTTAAAAAAAACCTTCAAAACAAACATTGTATTTACTTTTTGTCTCCACCTTTGTGGCCTTTTTATCTTTTCTCTCTTTTAGATCTGGGTATGTTCACAACACCTGTCTCTCTGGGAAGCACATATCCCGTTTCTATAGCTCACCGGGAGTAGACATATATATTATTTCCCTGAGGGTTAGAGAAAGCTATCAGAATTTGGCAACATATAAAGTAAATACCCACTAATTGCAATACATTTATTTAAATCAGGTCTTTATCCTCCTTCAGCATTGTAGTAGGTAGCTTCCTTTGAAGTCTTGTTGAATTTGTCCAAAATTACCTTGCCCGAGGCAGACGGCTGGTTGAAACATTTGTTCTGAACCTTTCCCAAAGCGGTAAATCTTAGCATTGGTAAAGGCTCACATGCCACAAAGAGGAAATGTCCCGGGTAGGGCATGAATCCAGACTTAGATCCCCCATTGTATGCAAAGAAAAGAAAGAGAAAGGGAGAGATAACTGCACAACTCTAAGGGATATAATGCTTTTGTACAACTCGATGATGTTAAAAACCACAAACCCTGTACATTGCTCACATAACCAACAGCCTGTCAGTGAATTAGTGAACTTCTCTTTTTTCAGTAGAATCCATTCATGCATGCATCACGCATTTCTCATTTAAAAGTGGTTTTGCTAGATAATGGTATCCTGGGTTTGCTTGTTTGCTTTCAATACGTAGCTTAAGCATCATTTTAAACCTATTCTGGGAATTATACATATATGTAAAAATCATGCTTCACTGGCACTAAGGTACCGTGCCTGTCATAGTCTTGGCCTCGTGATGCACGGATA